ACTTATGAATATAAGTTCATAACTATTAGGTGAAACTCACTTATATTCTAGCGTCAAATTCATGCATGAAAATTAAGCGTGCACTTTCAATAAACATACATAAATAGGTTATCAATCAAACAGTTAAACAAATTGAAAACACAACTTATGAAACGTAATTAGAAGTAATCAAATCATATTGCAAGCATAAACATATATTTCGAATCCCCCCCTAGCTAAGGGGGGGGTTTAGTTCCTCATGATACAAAACAAAGAGAATCAAAGAAACACCTAAACATTCCAACAACTCAAACTTGAATTGTATGAACGTTTAGGTCCTCTTCTCTTCCATTCCTCATTCGTACAAAACAAAGAGTATTGAAATTAAACATTGAAATCAAAGAAACACCTAAACATTCCAACAACTCAAACTTGAATTGTATGAACGTTTAGGCCCTCTTATCTTCCTCTTTATTGTAGCATAAGGTCTAGGGATAGTTGGTTGGGGGAATGGAAGTGTGGAAAGGAGTGAGGAGTGATGGAAGTGGAAGATGGTTTTTGGATTCTAAGGGAGAAAGGAATGTGTTTGTGGTGTGTTGTTGTGTTGTGAATGAGATGAGATGGAATTGAATGAAATGGAAGTGTGGGATGAATTGAATGATGCTAATGAATGAAGTGTGTGTGGTTTATATAGGGAGAGAATGGATGGGAGAGCATGTGAATGATAGCTAGGAGAATGATTAAAGGGGTGTGAATGGTTGGAAATGCATGTGGGTGAATTGGTGGTGCAATGATGAAAGAATAAGTGCATGTGTGTGTTTTGTGTTGGAATGAATGTGGATGCATGATGAAGAGTTAATAAATAATGCATGTAGGGTTAGGAAATAAAATCATAACTTAAAGGGGGGATGATTAAAGGGTGTGTGAATGCATGTGTTGAATTGGTGGTTCAATGATGAAATAATAAGTGCATGTGTGTGTGAATGGTGGTAGCTAGGGTGAATTATGATAAATGCATGTGGAATAAAGATGGAGAAGGTGGTGAAATGATGAAGTAGGAAGGTGGAAATGCATGTGAGATGTTCTTTGGAGAAAGGTGGATGAATGTGCATGTGAATTAAGTTGTGAAAGCATGTGGAATGTTTTAAATGGTTGAAATGTGTAGATGATTATGAGTATGATAAGTGATAATTGTATGGTTATGATAAGTGATAAATGAATGATATGTGGTGATAAATGAATGATATGATAAATGAATGATATGTTAAGTAATAAATGAATGATATGTGGTGAGTGATAAGTGAATGGTTTGATAATTGATAAATGAATGATATGCTAAGTGATAAATGAATGATATGTTAAGTGATAAATGAATGATATGTTAAGTGATGATAAGTAATGATAGGTGGTTATGATAGTTTGGTCTTTAATTTCGTCCATTCCTTTTGCTCCAAATATAAGCTATCCAATCCAAGTCCGATTTTGCTCCAAAATGCTCCAAAAGGCATCCTTTTGCATACCTTGCCCTTAGAACCTGAAAACACACAAAAGAAGCATAAAGGACTAAAATAACTAGAGAAACATAATGTAAATGCATGAGAACAAGCCTTTTAAGTCGCATGAATATGCTCCTATCAGTGGTCTACCCCAAATTGAAGCCACACGCCAAGTATGTGAAGGTTGTGTGCTTGGCAAGCAAGCACGACTATCGTTCCCTGTTGGTGATACATGGAGAGCAAAGGCACCACTGCAGTTGGTGCACACAGATATATGTGGTCCATTGGATCCCATGTCTTATGGAGGTAATAGGTATTTTATTACTTTCATTGATGATTTTAGTAGGAAGACTTGGGTTTACTTGCTCAAGGAGAAGTCGGCTGCCCTAAAAATCTTCAAGGAGTTCAAGGCACTCACAGAGGCTGAAAGCAACCATAAGCTTGTGGCTGTGAGATCAGATAGAGGTGGAGAGTACACCTCCAATGCTTTCCAAGCATACTGCAAGGAACAAGGAATTAGACATCAACTTACTGCTGCCTATACCCCACAGCAAAATGGGATAGCCGAAAGAAAGAATCGAACCATCCTTGACATGACAAGGTCCATGCTTAAGGAGAAGAATTTGCCAAAAGAGTTATGGGCAGAAGCTGTAGCTTGTTCGATTTATTTGTTGAATCGATGTCCAACAAAGAGTGTCAAGAGGATGACACCACAAGAGGCTTGGAGTGGATACAAGCCGAATGTTACACACCTAAGAATTTTTGGGTGTGTTGCATATGCTCAAGTTCCAGAAGCCAAGAGGAGGAAACTTGATGATAGAGGTGAGAAGTGTGTGTTTGTGGGCTATAGTGAAGAGTCCAAGGCGTACAAGCTCTACAACCCACTAACTGGCAAACTAGTGGTTAGTAGAGATGTCATCTTCAGTGAGGAAGAGGCATGGATGTGGAACAACAAAGAAGTCAGTAAAGAGAAGATTGTCTCCACTGATTTTGAAGAACCAAAAGTTGTACCACCTGTTGAGCAACAACCTGCTCAAACAATCACAACAACTCCAGTGCACAGAATTGCAAGGAGTGGTCCTACATCTAGTGAGGAAAGCAGCTCCTCAACTCCAATGAGGTTAAGGAGTCTCACAGAGATTTATGGACAAGAAGAAGAAGAAACCAATTTTTTTTGCTTCTATGCAGACCATGAGCCTCTCTCATTCAATGAAGCTGTGGAAGAAAATTGTTGGAAAAAAGCCATGGAAGAAGAGATCCATGCCATCGAGAAGAATGACACTTGGGAGTTGACAAAGCTCCCACCAAATCAGAAGGCTATTGGTGTCAAGTGGGTTTACAAGATCAAATGCATTGCAGATGGAAGTGTGGATCGATGCAAATCAAGGCTTGTAGCAAAGGGCTACAAACAGAAGTATGGAGTGGACTATGATGAAGTCTATGCTCCAGTTGCAAGACTTGACATGGTAAGATTGCTAATCTCTCTTGCCGCTCATCATAAATGGAAAATTTATCAACTAGATGTCAAGTCAGCCTTCCTTAATGGAGTTCTTGAGGAAGAAGTGTACGTGGAACAACTGGAAGGCTTCCAAGTACAAGGAGAAGAAGAAAAGGTGTATCGTTTGAAAAAGGCTTTGTATGGCCTCAAGCAAGCACCACGAGCTTGGAACTCAAGGATTGACAACTACCTTCACCAAAATGGATTTCAGAAATGTCCATACGAGCATTCAGTTTACATGAAGAATGGTGCAAAAGGGGAGTTCTTAATTATTTGTCTCTATGTAGATGACTTGTTGTTTACAGGAAACAATGAAGCAATGTTCTGTGAGTTCAAGCAATCCATGTTCAGTGAATTCGAGATGACTGACAATGGATTAATGTCATACTTTCTTGGCATAGAAGTGAAGCAAGAAAGTGATGGTATCTACATCTCTCAACAAAGGTACATGAGAGACATATTGAAGAAGTTCAATATGGACAAGTGCAACACTGTCAATACCCCAGTCGCAACTGGATTGAAGTTGTCCAAAGGAGGAGAGGGTGAGTTTGTAAACTCAACAGTGTACAAAAGCCTCGTTGGAAGCCTAAGGTACCTTACAATCACAAGACCTGATATAGTTTATGGTGTTGGACTCGTGAGTCGATACATGGAAACACCAAGGGAGTCTCATTGGCTGGCCGCCAAGAGAATTTTGAGGTACATAAGAGGTACTCTAAACTATGGTCTATTTTATAATTTTGGTGAAGATGCAAAATTATTTGGTTATTCAGATAGTGATTGGGGAGGTGACCAAGATGAAAGGAAAAGCACAACTGGCTATGTGTTTTTTCTAGGATCAACAGCTTTCTCATGGACTTCAAAGAAGCAATCAATTGTTGCTTTGTCATCATGTGAAGCCGAGTATGTTGCTGTAGCCTCAACCGTGTGTGAGGCAATTTGGTTAAGAAATCTGTTGAAGTCAGTGTGTCATCCACAAGTGGAATCGACTGTGATTCATGTAGATAACGTGTCTGCAATCAAACTTGCAAAGAATCCTGTTCAACATGGAAGGAGCAAGCACATTGATACCAGGTTCCATTTTCTAAGGGACCATGTGAAGCAAAAGACAATTGAACTTGTCCACTGTCACACCAAGGAACAAGTGGCAGACATCTTCACAAAGCCATTGCAAATTGAATCATTCCGGCTACTGCGTGAAATGCTAGGAATGAAGGCGTTTTGATTTGAGGAGGTGTGTTGGAAATTCAAATCAAAACAGGTTGTAAAATATTGCTGCTAGCTGTTTGTTTCTTTCCAGCTACAAAGAACAAAGTCTCCTCCATGTGCTAGCCGAAAGGTGTTGAAAGACAGCAAGGAATGATGCAGAGCATGTGTGTAAAAGTGTCTAGCAGCTGGTGCATATGTGAAAGGGTGTAAAGATGGTAATCACCATCTGTCGCTGCATGTGTGTGTGCCAGATTGTTCTAAGTTCATTTGATCTGTTTGAATGATTGTATGAGTTGTTGTATTTTTTTATTTAAAGCACTTGAGTGGTTCTTTGCTGTTTGGCTTGTATAAATAAGCCTCCTTGCTAGGCTTTAGAACCATCCCATCCGAATCCCACTTCCAATTGTGAAGAAGCTTGTAAGCTTTCTTATTTCATCAGTTTGTAAACTGTCTTTTATTTCATATATCAAGAAAGTGTGTTTCGTGGAATCTTGTTATTTCCTATCCCTTCTCCATTTGTTAGTCCAATTTTATTGAGAGTGAAAGTGAGATGTGTGATAGAGTTTGTAAACTTATCACCCACATATTTTGGTATTGAGTTAGTAAACTCTTGTGAATACCAACAGTTTTGAACTGATATGACTTGCACGAAATGTAAAGAAGATTGGAAAAGGAAAACTGAATCGCCAAGTTCACTAATGTTCCATTTGTAACATTATGGCAACTTAGTAATGTAGAATGTATAATTTGATTATCCTTTTCTATTGATTTTCCTCAACGATTTTGGTGATGATAGGGAGCGGAGTTGTTTCGTCACTATCATGTGGATTTTCTTTGAGGTGTTTATGATAATCTGTTACAGGAACTGTGAGGCTACACGTTAAACTATGGTGGAAAATATGAGAACTACTTTTCTAGACGCCATGTCACACATATCATTTGCAGTAATCTAGCCAACAGCAAAATAAAAAATTTGAGGTTTGTATTATTTTAGTTACTTTCAGATCAATAAAATTGTGAAAATTCAAATTTGATATTTAATTAATCTCCAGTAAGTTTGATTTACTGTTCCTGATCCTAATACTGGTATTTTAGTGGAGGGTTCCCAGTGGTGAAACCCTCCTGGATTTTAGATTCAGTTGCTGCTAACAAACTCTTGAGTTGTAAGTTCATGGGCCTTTTCTGTTTTGTTTTTCTCTTTTCTTCTGTCTTCTTTTTCTTAAAGTTTTAATTTGGTCTTCCTATAAGTTTTAACAGATGACATTATGGACTCAGCTAAGCATTACTACCGTGTACTGACTAATTGGGTTGGGTTGTATCTTGATACACAGTATAATTATATTAAATGCAACAAAAAGTAGCAGTGGAGATTGGATGAGGGGCATTTGAGCAAGGAATGTTTTCTGTAGGAGCTTCTGACATGTTTCCCCTCAGTATTTTGGTCATGGTTTGATGACAGTCATCTTTTTTCGTTTTTTGAATGATGGCATGAAGAACACTACATAGTTCATAAATTAGTATTTTAACCTTGAGGGATTTTCATTTTCTGATTTCATGTGTTCCTTACCAACTTGAACAGATTGCTTGCAACCGACCAAGACTGTCAGCCTTCTTTTCTCCGAAAATAATCTGAGACTCTGGTGATGCTTTGAGAGATGCTGCTAATCTTCGATGGGTGCCGTAGTGGAAGGTGCTACCAGATCTGAAATGGGCAGATCCACATATCACAGGAAAAATTAGTGGATAATCTGATAACATTATGTTTGAGAACGACAATGAAGAACCTGGTCAGTAGCCATATGTAAGTAGTGAAAAAGATTGTGAAGTGCAAATTACCGAAATGACTACTTCGGACGCAGAAGAGGATGGCAGGGTAAAAGATGAACTTCCGTGTTTTACCCACCAAACATCAGCTTCAGATTGCAGCTACCGCTTGCCAAGCTCTTCAAATGTTGGGTCTAATAGAAATCATTCAACTCTTGAGGATCCCAATTTTGTGGAAAACTGTTTTAAGGTACTGAACTGGAAAGTATTTATGTACCGTCTCTCACTAGTGCCACATTTTTTCATCTTGATTTGTACCATCAAGAGTCTTAATTCCTATTTGTCTTCAAAATAAAATTATTTGATTAATTTTTTCAAAGGCTATGTATGCCTTCTCCTCTTTTTTGTTTTTTCTTAGGTTGTCTTTGTTGAGAAGGGTAAATACTTTTCTACTGATACTTGTTGGCATACTCCATCACTTGTTGGCATGCTCGTTGCATTGATCTTATGCCATTTTCAAGACCAATTAGCCTGAAATAGTTGCCAATTGAAACTTCCCTAGGGTATTTTTTGGAGGGACCCATGGTATTTGATGCGCAGTTTGGCTTTGTGGTTGAGATGATACTAGTATATTTGCTTATACATTTTCAGAACTTTCTGATGATGAGTTATATCTGTTATGTGGTTCTAAACTTCTAATGGATGTTGTATATTTGTGAATAATTAGTATTTGACTGCTAATGCTATTTTCTTATACTGGTTAAACTTACCTGCAATTTTGTATTACTATCATTTTATATCTTTGGTTACTGCAGAGCTTAAGGCTGCACTTCATACGAACATGGAGAAATCGGTATTGAAAGCGTTTTCCAAGTTCCTCTAAAGGTTTTACGAGCACAGAGCCAAATTTCGACTGGTTCCCAGAAGGTTGCCATCATACACATTGACATGGTACCTTCCTAACACAAGACTGTTAAACCTGAATTTTGATTATTATGTCCTTATGCTTGTCTGGTAATTACTGGTCTCCCTGTGTTATCAGCTAATCGATGGGCCTCTCTTGTGTGCTATAAATTTTTGACTTTCACTGGCCATGCTATCTGTTCACACTCATCACTGTCATCTTCTCCACTATTGCCGCAGATACCATTATTTTCAAGATGACTGACATTCTTAAAATCTTGTACTATAAATCTCATCTTCAACAATAAAGTCATTTTTTCCCAAAACCTTTTTAAGTTTAAACCTCTATCTTCTGGGCCAAGTTTGAAATACATGGTCTCTGTAATTTCATTTAATCCCTAGTGATGTCATTGATGGATTAATTAGAGTTGTAAAGTTGATTGATCTTATAGTGATGTGCAATATGAATATCTTGGACGAGATGAAGTTATCTGTATAATTTAGAATGTAAGTGAGATAATGCAATATGCTCTTGTAGGACTGTTTTTTCGTGTCAGTGGTCATCAGGAAACGCCCTGAGTTTAAGGATAGGCCGGTAGCTGTGTGCCATTCTGATAATCCAAAGGGAAGTGCTGAAATTTCATCTGCAAACTACCCTGCTTGAAATTATGGTTGGTTTTTCTTTTTTTCAATTTTATTTGTCTTGGGAGGATATATTTTGTATTTAATCGTTTTATTTCTAACTTTCAGGAGTGAAAGCTGGGATGTTTGTTAGAGATTGCAAGGCTCTTTGTCCAAACCTTGTCATTATTCCATATGATTTTGAAGCTGATGAGGAGGTATGTTTTATCTTAGATACTTTTACAGAGACAACGCTTATTTTTTCTTTTGTTTACAGTATTTTACCTTGTTGACTGGAATTCTATAAGCTATATGATCTGCTGTGTAGGTAGCGGGTCAGTTCTACGACATCTTGCAGACGCACTTCAATAAAGTACAGGTATGCTTGCTTGTGGGATTTTTTTCTTGAGTACTTGAAGTTTAAGTTGCCTTCTTGTTAATATTGAACTTCTTGAATTTAGGCACTAAGCTGTGATGAAACATTTTGCTGCTTCAACTTCAGAGCTTAAGTTGAAGCAGCAAAATGTTCACAAGTGTGGACAGTTGCTTATGACTACAAAGGTTTTTAATTTGAATTTCAGTTTTATTTATTTATTTATTTTATCTGGGTCTTGACTTTCTTTCTCCACCAACTGAGATAATTAAGTTACAGTTGTACCTTGCAATATTTATTCAACTTTTTCGAGATGAGAAGATCATGATCTTAATGGTTAGTTAAATTTATGCTCGATGTTTTGATTTCTAAGTAGAGAAAAGTGTATGAAATGGTTATGGATACAGCTAAGTAGTTGGAAGTATAAAATTTCTCAAGGGCGAAGCTTAAAAAACAAGGAAAGGAGTGCCAACTTATCATGGATTGTTATTTTAAGTGGATTGATGATGGCTTCAGAATATGTTGCCCAGCGTTGTGTTACTTGTGGTCTATTTGATGTGATATTCTACTTTACAACACTTGGTTTAGGAGCAAATGACATAGCCAGTCTTTATTTTTATTTTTATTTTTTCAATAAGAGGATCGGAAAAACCAATGTGCCGCACCCTTCCCTTGTGTTTCCTGATTTCAATTTCCTATTTCCTAGTTTAATTCACTTTCCTAGTTCTAAAACTTTCCCTAAAGTCCTAATTTCTAATTTCTTGCAAGGAATGGACTTTTCCTTCCTTCTTTTGCACCAATTTCGTACCTTACCTTAAATTTCCTTTCCTTGCTGTGCAAGAGGTTTAATTTCTGATTCCTTGCGAGGCAAGGACATTCCTTACTTGTTTTAAATTCGTGCATCCCCCTTTTCTGATTTTATTTGGACTTTATTCACTTACCTTTTCTATTTAGACTAGGAAATCTGAATCATAACTCAATTAGGTATGTTATTAACTTCCTAAAACACATATAATCAGCCCTTGGCTGAACCCTAGGGAACCATTCACCACCAAAACTCGTCCATTCACTCCCACACGCATAAAAACATCCCAAAACACCATTCTGCAACCCAGAAATACAACCAGCCGCTCCACCTTCTTCCACCATCATTATCGAGTCTTCCACCACCTTCCAACCATCAAACACTCATCCACACTCAACCTACATCCCTTGCTGTGCCTCTAAACACCCCAAAATTCATTCTACATCAGAAACCATCATCACCCAATCTGCCGCACGCAAGGGAAAGGAGACAGATTCACTTAATTGTTTGGCTCTTCATTCTGAGTTGTTGAACAATTTTAGGTGTATTCAATCTTATATTTCAATGTCTAATTCATGTAATCTTTGTTTTGCTTTGAGTATGATTGGCTAAATTCGTTTTGGCTAAGGGTGTATTCGAAACCATGATTATATATGTGAAATAAGTTGATTACTTCTAGTTATCGTTGCATAAGTCGTGAATACAATTTGCTTAACCGTTTGATTTAGAACTTATTCTTGTATGTTGATTGAGAGTGCACGCTTAATTTGCATGCTTGAATTTGGTGCTAGGGTATAAGTTTGTTTCACCTAATCGTTATGAATTTATATTCGCAAGTAGTGAAGGTCGCTAGTCACGATCGTGTTAAGTAAATTCTTGGCAGGAGTATCATGCATTTCATAGTTACAAATGCCTTGTCGATGCTTATGGTTTCCAAATAACGTAATGATTCTAACTTGTGTCTTTATCATGCTGTTCATATAGAGAACTTGTTAGGAATATTTTGGTTGCGATGCATATTCATCCAATTCAATGATTCTAGGGAAATCTGAAGGTTAATTTAAGTAGACTTAATTAACTTAGAGCGTCGAGGTTCATAACTTATTGAATTGATAATTGGAAATTGATTTACGTTGCATATATTTCATGTGTGGAGAAGAACCCCTTAGCCATTCCATCATCCATTGGTTCATCACAAATTGTTTTACAATCTGTCCATTTAATTTAATTTCGTCCAAACACAATTTCCCCATATTTTGTTAAGTCTTAGTCATTATAATATGTCTTATTTTGTGTTTTTAAGTATTTGGAGTCACAAACACTTTCAAATTCGTCCAAATCAAGTTTTAGTTTCTGTTTGAGTCAATTTGATTGTTTAAGGCAGTTTTGAGTGTTTCAAATCTGTTTTGAGTCATAGTAGTCTAGTTAGAGTCTTTAAGTTTAGTTTTTGTGTTTTTAAGTCAATTTATATTAGATTAGCACCCCTGGTTAATCTCCGGTTAAAACGATCCCTACTTACACCATTACTACAATTGTCACAAATATGGTTTAATTTGTGTGTCACATTCGTAACGCATCAATGATCTCATGAATGAAATGCCACTACTTAAACACGAGAACCAGGGATACCATATGCTTGTACCAATTTTAAACACCACATATTGAAACACATAACAATCAAGATAGAAGTCAAAGGGTTGTAATGGGGCTAAGGTATTGGCTAACAAAGAAAGGTTAAAATAAACAAAGTTCTTAAAGCAATAGTAAGCAAAGTATTGAAATAAGCACTTAGAATTCACTTTTGAATGCAGAAATCAACTTTAAACACCCATGGGAGATTTATTCAACACTTAGGGCCAGATTCAAACTTTTGAACCCTTTCTTCAACAACCAATACTTGTGAGTTTATTCTCACTTATTTTCAACTCTTTTTCCTTCTTTTCTCAACTTGTTCTTTTTTTCTTTTTTTTTTCCTTTTTTCGTGCCCTTTTTCTTTCTTTGGCACACAAACGTACAACTTCATGAAATTCCAATGAAAAACCTTCCCCAACTCTTGTTTTTCTGCAAATTGTAGATCAAAAGGAATTCCCTCTAAGTCATGCTCCACTATTCTTTAAGAACAAGGGTATGGATAGTCCTATTCTAGGCTAGGTAAGGATAGTGTGGTTAACATTGAAAATAGGCTAAATAAGGCTCAAAGGGGTTAAACCTACAATAAATATGCAAAGGGTAAGGCTTTTTGGCTCTGGTTTAACTAAACAACTTCTCTTATTGTATGTTATGCAATCAATTTTATGCTTTGAATGAAACGGGTATGAGTTCTAGTATTTGGAACTATAGTGATGAAACGCATTCTAAGTAGCAACCAAGCAAAGAAATAATGAGATCATGCAACGACTTTAGAAAACAAGAATTCACAGATTAATGACTCTCTAAACAAAGTTTAGGCTCAAGTCTTTTAGGGTTGTAGCGTTAGTTTAAGTTCCTTCCTTCAAGCATGTTACAAAAACTGATTTTTTTCTTTTTGTGATTACATGTGAATTCATAAATGACAACTACAACTAAGCATAAACCAAAGAGCATATCAAACTTCAATTCATGTTTGTAACTTTATTTAACAGTCATGCAATTAAAAACCAAATCCTCATCATTGTGTTGGAAGGTACCCTAAGACACAAACAAACATAAAAACAAAAATGACTCTAAAAACAACTCTTTTTGGGTTTTGTAAACACTCTTTTTCGATTTTTTTATTAAATTTTCGGATTTTCGGTTTAAGACACATTAAAACACCTCAAAACACACTAAAAACACTTAAAAACAATGAGTAATAACTTTAGAAGTGATAGGTGATAAAATCTGATGAAATTCAATGCAAAATCATTTGTTTACCCCCCCCCCCCTACACACACCTAAACCAAAGATTGTCCTTAATGTTTCAAACATAGACTCACAAACAAGAAAACAAATAACACAACTATCATGGCAAAGTAAAAGCAATAAAGAAGAGGGTTTAGGAACGCAAATCTGGTTATGGAGCCGAAAGTTCCTAGGTCTTCTTTATTTAGATGCATGGGTTGCCTCCCAAGAAGCACTTGCTTTAACGTTTTCCAGCCGGACGATACCTCCTTTTAAGCTTCATTGGAGCCCACGGCCTGGAGAGGTATATCCTCCATGACATGCTCCTCAAAATGTTCATAGTATGGCTTCAAAGGATGTCCATTCACTTGGAAATCGTTTCCGGTCTTTAAACTTTGAATTTGGACTGCACCATAAGGAAAGACATTAGTAACAACAAATGGGCCCATCCATTTAGAATGTAACTTACCTGGAAACAATCTAAGGTCGGAATTGAAGAGTAACACTTTCTGCCCTATGACAAACGTCTTGGTACGAATCTTCTTTTCATGGAATGCCTTCGACTTCTTTTTGTAAATAAGAGCGTTCTCGTACGCCTCGTTTCGAATCTCTTCAAGTTCATTCAATTGAAGCTTCCTATGAATTCTAGCGGCGTCAATATCCATATTGAATGTCTTGACTGCCCAATGTGCACGATGCTCTAACTCAATGGGAAGATGACATGGTTTCCTATAGATGAGCCGAAATGGGGACATTCCAATTGGTGTTTTGTAGGCCGTACGATATGCCCACAATGCATCATTCAGACGCAAGCTCCAATCTTTTACGTTTGGCCCAATGGTCTTCTCCAAAATTTGTTTGAATTCCCGATTAGAAACTTTGGCTTGCCCATTTGTTTGAGGATGATAAGGTGTTGCCACCTTATGCGTGACGTTATACTTCTTGATCAGCACCTCAATGGTTCGATTGCAAAAATGGGAACCCCCATCACTTCTAAGAACCCTTGGCATTCTAAATCTTGCAAATATGTTAGTTTTCACAAAATTTGCAACCACTTTGGAATCATTAGTACGGATGGCTTTTGCTTCCACCCATTTCGAAACATAATCAACCGCAAGTAAAATATAAACAAAATCATGAGATGAAGGAAAAAGACCAATGAAATCAATGCCCCAAACATCAAAAATTTCATCACAAAAGATAGGGGTCTGCGTCATTCGATCTTTTGAACCAATGTTTTCGGTTCTTTGACAACGATCACATGTTGTGCAAAACATTCTAGCATCCTTAAAGACAGTAGGCCAATAAAAACCACATTCAAGTACTTTACATGTAGTCTTTTGAGTGCCAAAGTGACCTCCACATGCATAAGCGTGACAAAAAGTTAAAATCGAATGAAATTCATAATCATGCACACACTTACGAATGATTTGATCAGCACAGTATTTTCACAAATAAGGATCATCCCACACATAAAGATGAGCCTCTTTCTTAAGTTTATCACGTTGGTGCTTATTTAGAGTGCTTGGAACTTGTTTAATGACCAAATAGTTAACTAAATCGGCATACCATGGCTCACTTACCTCGATGGAGAATAGCTGCACATCTGGGAATGTCTCTGGGATAGGCACGACATCCTTTTCATGCACTATACGGCTCAAGTGGTCAGCCACCACGTTTTCCCTTCTTTTCTTGTCCCGGATTTCGATATCGAACTCTTAGAGAAGAAGCATCCAACGAATAAGCCTTGGTTTGGCCTCTTTCTTCGTAAGTAAGTACTTCAACGTTGCGTGATCAAAGTAGATTATAACTTTAGTACTAAGTAAATAAGAACGAAACTTATCTAAAACAAAAACAACAGAAAAAAGTTCTTTTTTCGTTGTGGAATAGTTCAATTGAGCGTCATTCAATGTCCGAGAGACATAGTATATGACGTGTGGCTGTTTGTCCATTTTTTGTCCTAAAACGGCCCCTAATGCATAATCAGAAGCATCGTACACAAGCTCAAAAGAAAGGCTCCAATCTGGTGGAACAATGATGGCGGCCGAAGTGAGCATCTCCTTAAGGTGTTTGAAGGCTTTCTCACATTCCTCATCGAACTTGAAAGGTACATCTTTCTGAAGGAGACGGCAAATGGGGTTGGAAATCTTTGAAAAATCCTTGATGAATCGCCAATACAATCCTGTATGTCCAAGAAAAGAACGAACCTCTCTAATCGAAGTAGGAGAGGGTAAGTAACGGCACAAGATCTATTTTTGATTTATCAACCTCAATTCCCCTTTCTGAAACGATATAACCTAAAACTATACCTTGTTTTACCATAAAGTGAAATTTCTCCCAATTCAAAACAAGATTAGTTTCAACACATTGTTTCAAGATTAATGTGAGATTATCCAAACAATTATCAAATGAATCACCAAATACACTAAAATCATCCATGAATACCTCAATAATCTTCTCAACGAACTCTAAAAAGATATTTACCATACATCGTTGAAATGTGGCAGGTACATTGCATAAATCGAATGACATGTGACAATGGGCAAAGGTACCCAAGGGGCATGTGAAAGTGGTCTTTTCTTGGTCATCCGGAGCTATGACAATCTGATTATATCCCACATAACCATCAAGAAAACAATAAAAATAATGACCAGCTAACCATTCAAGCATTTGATTAATGAATGGCAAGGGAAAGTAATCCTTCCTTGTGGTGGCATTGAGCTTCCTATAATCAATGCAAACTCTCTAGTACCAAGAGTGGCAGGCATGACACTTTTCTTCTCCTTCCTTCCTTGTTGCGGCACTAGAGAGATTTAGGTGTATGTGGTGTGAGATGGCTGAATGAATGAATGCTTGAATGAGTGAATGGATGGATGCTTTTCTACGGCATAAACATGTATTTATATGCTAGGGTTTTGCACAATTTCTAAAGGGAAAAGGATTGCACAATCCTAGGGGAAAAGGACTAGGATTTGGTAGAAACCAAGAGGGAAAAGGTTAGGAACCTGTGGCAAGGATTTAGGCCTTCTAGAAAGGGTATTATGGTAGGTTTCTAGAAGAACAAGCGCTAAGGGGTGTGGCACCAATGTAGGAGAAGGATAGAGCTTCTAGAACCTGATATTTAGGTGAATTAATATGAAATTAAGTCCTCTTTGCAGCTAGAATTAAGGTGGAACAAGATTAGGTTAGGATAAGATAAGATAAGGTTGGATAAGGTTTGGATAATGTTCCCTGTTTCTTGCTCTTTCCTTATCTTCTTTGTTGTGAACTTGTTTCTCCAGATTTGTAGCATGTTCCTAGCCTATTTTGACTTCAAATTCATCCATCGACCTTGTTCCATATGCAAGCTATCTATTCTAAGCCCAAAAATGCTCCAAATTGCTCCAAAATGCATTTTCTTGCCGCTTTTGCCATTTAAACCTACAAACACACAAAAATAGCTTAAATCACTATAATAAATAGAAACTAACTATGTAAATGCAAGAAAACAAGCGAACTAAGTCGCATAAATGTGCTCTTATCAGGAAGTTTCTCGGCTTCATTGTCAAGCATCGTGGCATTGAAGTGGGCCAATCAAAGATTAAGGCCATTCAAAGCATGCTCGTGCCAAGGAATTAACATGAGCTGAAAAGTCTAGAAGGACAATTTCCCCTCATCAGACGCTTCATCTCTAACCTTTCTGGATGCTATCAACCCGTCAATTGACTTATAAAGAAGGACACTCCATTTATATGGGATGATACTTGCTGTAATGCCTTCAGAAGCATAAAAAGGTACTTGGCAAACACACCTATCTTAAGAGCTCCCATGCCTGGAAAGTCGTTCATCGTATACATTGTTGCACAAGAAGGTTCCATTGGAGCACTCTTAGCACAAGAAAATGAAGACCAAAGGGAAATAGCACTCTACTAACGAAGTAGAATTCTCACTGGTGCCGAGCTCAACTACTCACCGATCAAGAAGATGTGCCTTGCCCTACTCTTTGCCGTCCAAAAGCTTAGACACTACGTGTATGTTTACATCATCCACTTAGTTGCTAAAGCTAACCCGGTCAAATACATCATGTCCAAACCAGTTTTGATAGGGCAACTAGCTAAATGGGCATTGCTTCTTGTTCAGTGTGTGATCATCTACGTCCCATCAAAAGCCATCAAGGGACAAGCCCTAGCAAACTTTCTTATCGATCATCCAATCCTAGTCGATTGGAAAATCTTAGATGACTTGCCTGTCGAGGAGGTGTTGTACATCGACATCTTTTTGACATGGAAAATGTTCTTCGACGGACCCGCATGAGCAGATGGAGTGGGGGCAAGAGTAGTATTTATGTTAGCACAAAGACAAATACTATCTTATTCCTTCTGATTAAGCAAATGCTCCAACAATGTCGCTGAGTACCAAGCACTAATTATCGGACTCCAAATGGCGATCGACATGGAAATTATGACGCTAGAAGTGTATGGTGACTCCAAGCTTATAATCAATCAACTCTTGATTGAACATAAAGTAAGGAAAGACGATTTCGTCCTGTACTTTTGACTAGCAACTCAACTACTATGAAAGTTCAAGGCCATGACACTTAAACATGTGCCAAGAAAAGAAAATCAAATGGCGGACGCTTTCGCTAACTTAGCTTCAAGTATAGCGCTAGAAGAAGATGAAGATGCAGACGTGCTAGTTTGCCAAAGATGGGTGATCCTTCTAGTCATTGAAATGCTATTAGATGATACAAATGTTATCTCAGTACTTCCAGTCGACACTGAAAAGTGGAGATAGCCGCTGATCAATCCTAGATGCCGCTCTAAAGTATGTCGATGAGCACCTCGTTTCCACTACTACAAAGGAACACTTTACCAACACTCTTTTGAAGGAGGATTTCTAAGATGCCTAGGTGAAGAAGAAGCCAATTAAGCCATGGAGAAGGCACATTCAGGCATATGCGGAACATATCAGTTTAGACCAAAGCTACACTTTCGGCTCAAAAGAATGGGCTACTACTGGCCAAGCATAGTGAAGGATTGCCTGGAGCATGCCAAAATGTGCTAAGCCAGCCAATTCCACGCCAACTTCATACATTAACTGCCTGAGCCATTACACCTTACGGTTGTTTTATGGCAATTTGATGCATGGAGATTGGATATCGTGGGACTAATCGTAGTAAAATCATCTGCTGGAGAGACCTACATCTTAGCCATAACATATTACTTCTCCAAATAGACAGAAGCCTTACCCTTAAGGGAAGTCAAGAAGGAAATTGTCGTCCCCTTTATCAATGAACATATCATCTACCAATATGGTATGCCTAGCTACATCATCATCGACAAAGAAAAACAGTTCTCCAACTAATTTGTGGACGAGCTCTGGGATAAATACAAGTTCAAGCAGCACAAGTCTTCTATGTATCATGCTCCGGCCAATGGTCTTGTATAAGCATTCAACAAAACGTTGTGCAACCTCTTGAAGAAGGTGATTAGCCAAACAAGGAGAGATTGACACGAAAGAATAAGCGAAGCACTTTGTGCCCCTAGTGCCGAAGTCTATGCCAAGACGTCTATTGGGAGCTAAGTTCGGTTTACCTTTGGAGAGATTTACTACTATGAAGAACGATAAGGTGGACTTTGCTGCTAAAGTGGCGTCAAGGCCTATTCCTCTTGTTGCTGAGATCGATTCGCCTACTAAGAAAGAAGAAACTGCTCACGTGGGCAGTTGTGAGAAATCTACCAAGCATGTTTCTGGAGAGGCTATTGAGATTTATACGTTTTTGAAGCTAGATCTGCTTGAAGACATAGACATATGTGCCAAGCTTGTTGATGGCGTTAGAGGGGTTGTTTGCCTAAATTCCTTTGCGAACCACACGACCCAATACAAGAGGACTGCTCTTCTTGCCACGATGCAGAAAATGGCAACTCTAGCAACTGAGTCTATGCTCCTTAACCAGGAGGATACCAAGGAGATGGCAACGACTATGGTAGCTAATGTGTGTATTCTTCTATCGAGAAGATTAATAGGTTCGAGTATGACCTATTCGCTTTGAAGGGGTCCAATATCTTTGCCCCCACTTCTCTGTAGCTTGAGACCGCTCGCTAGGCGATCGTTGATTTGAAGACTAGGCTTGACGCGATCCAAGTTTAAGTATGAAAGTGTAGAGAATGAGATTGGCTGTTACATACCTCAGATTCAAGATCTTGAGCGTGCCATTTCTGAGCTTCATTTTGCTGCTTACCCAAAGGATGATAAGTTGATTGCTACATATAATCAAGTAATCCGCTTCAAGAAAGCCATTGATAGACTTAAACCCCAAGTGTTGGAATTGCAAAGCATGCTGAAGATCAAAGAAATTTGAAGAAGGAAACAGATGAGCTGCAGCACGTCCGTATTGGTTTGCTCGAGGAAAACAAGTAGTTGAAGGGTGAAAAAGCTGGACTCGAGGCTTCGCTTGTTCAGAGTCAAGTCAATTTCTACAAGCTGGGTTATGTACATTATCTCTTTGGTAGGCCGTCTGACTTTGAGTTTGCTTGGAAAGACTTTGAGACCTTCTCTATTTCTCTAGAAGACATGTTTGCCTCTTCTTTTGGGGTTTCCATTGGTGAAGTAGTTGGAGAAGATGGTGCCCAGGCTAGGGTATCTGGGGGTGAGGCACGGGATGATGCCGCTGCTGACATTGTCGTGGCTGCTAAAGGTGTGGCGACCGAGTAGTCGTAGAATATCCAAGCTACTGAAGAGTAGTCTTCTAGGTAGCCTTTAGGATTTTCTTTCTTTTCCTTATTGCTTTTTTGCTTTGCTTGAACTCCATTACCTTTGTTATTTGTTTATCAATTTTGCTAGAAAATTTAATAAACTTCTCTCTTTTGCTTTTCTTCATCTTCGCATCTTTTGTTTACGCCGAACCTTTAACTTTTAGACCAACGACAGGTGTGCTACTTTTTTTATAAGTAGACGGGCCTACGTAGCCTATGCAGCCGTAGGTGTTGGTGTAGAACTTTTGGAAAGTTGTTAAACATAGGGTTGGCAGCTGGATGCCTTACTTACAGAAGTAGACAAGTCTGCATGACCACTTGGCTGTTAACTTTGGCTTTCTTCAATCTTTTGAGTTGTGTAGCCTGCATCACAACATACTAAATATTTATAGGTCATGAAATTCGCTAACCTTTCGTACCAAAAGTATGTGGTTATATGGAATTTCGTAGGAAAGGGTCCGAGAGAACACCTTGCTTTTTATGTATCTAATTCTGTGGGTTGCGTAGCAAGTATCAGAACACTTTGGGAATTAGTGTAGATCTGAATAATCATTTGGTGCTTGGCAGAGGTGAAGCTTATCAACTACATAACAAGTCAGCAGTGGGTAGAGCTTCGTATATGCACACTAACTATTTAGCCTTTCACAAAAAATGTGCAATTGTATAGCTTTGGCGCGACTTACTGCTTGAAGGGCAAGCCATAGCCAAGAGCGTACTGTGTAATGTGCCTCTTCCGTCTTTGAGGCTCGGTTCCTTGCAGATCAGGCCATGATACCAAAAATCCTTCAGTTCGCTAAGCGTTGAAAAATACTATTGTGGCTACTTCTAGGAATCCCAGCGCAAGCCATCGCGCACCTAGTTACACCAAGGTAGCCCGACTCATCCACGTCTGAACATCCAGAGTGTATAGTTTATCCTCTTGCATCGGAGAGCAAACCCATGTAAGTGTCGAAGAATTGGTTTACCCTTTTGAACTGGAGAGAATGGTTGGTCCCCAAAGGGTGTAATTCTTGCGATAAGTCCCTAAAAAGGACGATATCTTCTTTTGAAGTACATGAGTGATCAGTTATTGTAAGCATGTAGTCGAGCCAAGTTGTGAATAACTTCTAAATTCCTCAATGAAAAACGAGCGAAACGAATGAGAACTTAGCTCTAAGGTAGGAACTGCATAACAACTGGATAATCCTCGGCTTGTGAGGTGGTGCTTATCGAGCTGCTTGAGTCTTCAGGCTTTGATGTAGTGAAAGGTCATGCATGGTACTTCCTCAGGTTGTAGGTGTTCCATTTTTTTTTTTATCTCTTTGTAGTTCATAGTGGTGAGGGTGTAGCTACTCTTGTCGCCTACTTTGCTGATCTTGTACAGACTTTCCCAGATATGATCGATCTTTTTGGAGCATTGTATGCGGACAGTGATAAAGGTTTTTCCTAAGACTAGATATCCAAGTTGGAACTGCCTAATCTTAGCCCTTTTGTTGTAACTGGAGAGCAGCTACTGCTAGTAGGTTGCAGTGTGGGTGATGACCTTCTCGTGTTCCTCCTCTGTTAGATCTAAGTTTGTGCCATCCCTTTTCTGTTCTGCTCAATGCTTGGCAGTAGAGTGCTGATACTTGGCACGATGACATTGGGAGGAATAATTGCTTTTGAACCAAATGCCAAGGAGAAGGAAGTCTCACCGGTTGCTCATCGTTTGGTTGTGTAATACGCCCATAGACATTCAGGAAGTTCGTTTCTTATCGGATAGGGATTTCTCGTCTTGTCCTATTGCCTATGCAATACCTCGGCGTAGACATGTACTGCTTGATGCCATATTTCTGGAAGAACTTTTCTAAATCTTTGCCTACGAATTGCGAGCCGTTGTATGTGACGATGGATTGAGGTATGCCAATGGTAGATGATATTCCTCCATATGAAGCGCTCTATGTTCGTCTGAGTTGTGGTCGTCATGGGCTCTATTTGCATCCATTTGGTTAAGTAGTCACGATCATCATGCCTTTGCCCATCTGCCCTCGGTAGCAGGCGGCATTGGCCATACCAAGTCGATTGCCCACTAAATGAACGACCAAGGACTTGTCTGCAGGTGTAGCTTGCTAGTAGGCAATGTTGGTACCGGCTTATAGTGTTGTCCGCAGTCGCACTTTCGTACTAACTCCTTGCATCTTAATGTATAGTAAGCAAGTAGTAGTCTGCGTTAAGAGCCTTATGTGCTAAAGATCGGCAGAACCTCTCCCTAAAAGTATAATATTTTGCATAACTTGTAAACAATCCTAGGATCCTGTAAGCCTTATATGTATATTCCCATATCTACCTAGCACGAGACCTTTTGGGAGCTTAATGGCTTCGGGTTCCATCGTAACTCCGAAGTTAAGCGAGTTCATGCGAGAACAATCCTATGATGGGTGGCCCACTGGGAAGTTCTCGTGTGAGTTCTCAGAAACAAAACCGTGAGGGCGTGGTCGGGGCCCAAAGCGGAAAATATCGTGTTATAGTGGAGTCGAGCTCAGGATGTGGTGGGAGCCCGGGCCAGGATGTGACATTACTTTTGTCTAATTGTTTTAGAACTTTTATATTATGACCACATAATATTAAAATCTTGAATCCACTACTATATTTTTTACTTTTATTTTTTTATTTATTTTTATTTTTTTTAGGTAGCATTACTTATTTGTTTGGAATAACCATGGAACAAAGTCTAACGGACATATCGCATGCGTGTGCTCATTCTAGTTCCAATGCGGTTCTAACGGAATACAGACTTCCTAGTTTCTCAATTCTCATGAATCATTGTATTCATCAATAAAAAACACATCATTATATTAACAAAAAAGTAAGTTGAAACCTTTTATTTTATTATATTTTCTCATACAAAGTTGCGACCTTCAGAAAAAGCATATTAGTTGGGACCGGGGCAAATCAAAACCCCTTCCAAAACCGGAACGTGTGGCCATAAAAGAAATGTGACTTGACAATCAGCCGTAATTGGTGCATGAATGAGAAATTAGATAAATTTGATTAGTCAATATTGGTGCATGAATGAGAAATTGGATAAATTTGGTGCGTGAATAAGAAATTAGATAAATTTGGTGCGTGAATGAGAAATTAGATAAATTTGATTAGTCAATATTCAATGTATTATTTTTTGATGCGGTCCGCGGATATTTTAACACAAGCTTAAATGTTGTTCTTTAAGAATTAAGGAATTGACATGTCACTCCATTTTTCTTGAATTTTTTAAAATAAGAAACACGTGACGTGACATGTGTTTCATTAAGCCACATGTTGGGTATTCACTAGGCAGTACTTAAACATTATTCATAGAACATTTCTGCTAGATCAGTTTAATTTCCATAGTTTATACCAAGTTGCAACAGTAACTAATAAAATTGATTAACTTATTTCATTCTCTTTACAAACAACTTATTAACTGAATGATTAATAGATGACCTGAAATTTCGTTGCTTCTCCGTATTGTTCCACACCAAACTTACGCTGTACATACGTATGTGCTTACGTTGTACATACGTATGTACCTACTAGCCCTATACCCTGAAATCAGATATACTTTTCCTAAATCAACTCAATATTTCAAAGATGGTTGTCCAAAGAAAAGTCAGCATTAAATAAGTGAGCATTAAAATCAAACGTTATCTAAGACCAGTAGGGTTTCAAGTCCGCAGAACCGACACCAAAATATCTAGAAGGGAAGACTTTGGTGTGATCTACACTGTACACATATTACCCTCTATATAAATCATAGAGGAATAGCTCACTCTCACATATCACAAAACCACAAAGTAGAAGCCCAGCCTTGATCCTTAAATTTCCCAGCTATGGTTCACCATATGTATTTCCTCTTGCTCATAACACTAGCAGGCCTTCACGGCACTGCCCATGCAGTCGACTACGACGTCACCAACAATGCCGGAACCAGCGCCGGTGGGGTTCGATTCGATAACGATATCGGAGCCGAGTACAGTAGGCAAACTCTAATATCTGCCACTGACTTCATACGGAGGTTGTTCCAGCAAAACACAGCCGCTGATGGAAAGAGTGTCCAAAAGATCAGTTTGGTAATTGAAAACATGAGCGGGGTCGCAAATACTAGCAACGATGTGATCCACGTTAGCGCCGACCACATAGCTTGTTACCCCGGCGATGTGAAGAGAGAGATCACCGGTGTGCTTTACCATGAGACAACGCACGTGTGGCAATGGAATGGGAATGGTCAAGCCCCAGGGGGTTTGATTGAGGGAATTGCTGATTACGTGAGGTTGAAGGCAGGGTACGACCCGAGTCATTGGGTGAAGGCAGGGCAGGGGGATAAGTGGGACCAGGGATACGATGTTACTGCTAGGTTTTTGGACTATTTGAATGGTTTGAGAGATGGGTTCGTGTCTGAATTGAATAGCAAATTAAGGGATGGCTATAGTGCTACATATTTTGTTGACTTGCTGGGGAAGAATGTTGATCAGCTTTGGACGGAATACAAGGCCAAGTATGCAAACTAATGAAGGTGGTTATGACTCTCAAGACATAATATAAAGGCTTGCAGGCCCATGTAAGCGATGGTTTAAGTGAATTAAATGTTGTATTAGAGGTTATCAAATAAATAAATGGTGGTGCTAGATTGAATTGAATTAGATCAAATTGAATTTAAGATGATCAAAAGACAAAAATTAACAAGGATTGTAAAAAAACGTGTGTAAATAACACCACCACTACTACAAACAAGTGTCTTCCCAAGAAAAACCAATTCACTGCGCAAAGAGAAATTTTGTCATGCAAAAAATTTTAGGCGACGAAATCTTCGTTGCCCTCATGTACTCGAACAAAGGTCGAGAAGCAAACAGTTGTGCCATGAAACCAAAAGTTTTGTTGCACAAAAAACTTGGTGCAACGAAGGTTTGTGACAAAGGTTTTTATCACATTAAACTATAAGGGACGAAGGTATTTCGTCGCGCTAACTTTAAGGTTACAACATTGTGCCCTCACATGCATTAAGGTTGAGGCGAAGACTTCTCTTCATTACGAAAAACTTAGGGCAATGAAAGATGTCGTTGAGTAAATCATGACACAGAAATTTATCATATCATTTTTTAGTTTTCAAGTATTTTTTTTAGTTTTTTTATTTAAAAATACTTTGTCACTTAAAGTTACATGCAATGTATACTTTTGTAGTGTTAAATTTTTGGCGACACATATTTTCGTCAGGCAAATTTTCTTTTAATTTTTTTAAATAATAATAATTTTTTATTAAATTAGATATTTTACTTAATTTAATGCTTTGTTATTTAAAACACCAAAAAGAATAATTAATTTAATTATTAATTATATTATATTTAGAAATGTACGTACAAGCAATAAAAAGTTATAATATCCTAATAAAAAAAAATTAAAAAAACTTTGAAAGTAGGGGACTGAAGTCTGCTAGGGCGAATGCCTGGGGATCTGCTGGGTGGAGCTACTGATTACTCGATATCTGAGGTGGTTGGGGATCAAATGATGGCATCGGAAATCAAAAGCCGGACAACTGGAGGGTGTGTAAGATTTGGCTCATCTGGTCACTTCGGGCCGCAAGTTGCCGCTTCAAGTGCTCAACTTTCATTGTTAATGTGGCGATTAGTCTCGAGCTTCTCTAGATAAAGATGAGGCACCAATGTCACAATGTCAATGCCCTAGTAAACTCTACCAGGGCTACAACCGAGGGTCTGATCTAACCCCTCAATCGTATTATGAAGACCTGCATTGGGTCGGAGTCACGTCCTAATTAGGGGTGTTTGGGGAAGCTGTGATGCCACCTCTTGGAGCAAAGCAATCCACAGTAGCATGTAATAAGAAAATACATATTAATATTTTTCATATTTATACTTATCTATAAATGACATAAAAGTAACAGTTAGATAAACTTTTTTAAAATTAGATCTCCAAAGGAGATGTCAAATTTTGAACCTAAAATTTAAATTTGACAACTTATATGACATTATGACATATTTTAATATTTTGTTCTCCACTCGATATGTCAAATTAAACTATTATTTTAGTACATTTTTATTTTTATTTTTAATTTCTGTCTTATATTTTAAATTTTATATATAAATAATTCATAATAAAAATCATATTAATTAATACTAATACAAATAATCCAACAAAATACAGATGCTCTCCCATAATCACCAAACGCAACCAACAACACAAACAAATCAATCGCACCACTACCCAGATCACAAAGATGGAAACTTTATCAGATTCCCAGCAGCAAGAAGTCGAGGAAGATGCGCTTTCCCTCTGCGATCTCCTGCTGCACGATGACAATGGCGAATCGGAAGAGAACCCCATAATCTCCGCTTCTTATTCTTCCGCTCCGGACGACCTTTTTGAATTTCGGGTCGACCCGATCCGGAGATACATCCCCATGGACCTTTTTTTTTTTTTTTTTTTTTTTGCGGAAAACCATTTTCCCTTTGGACCCAAGAGCCCCTATTCGAAAACCCATTGTTCTCCAGGTCTGAATCCTTGAATTCTTCATCTCCCTCCCACCCTTACTCACACTGGTCACCGGGATCGGAGCTGGTGCTGGATTTTGGGACCTGCCGGTCACACCAGCAGTCGAGCAATTCGCGGAAGCACAAGGTGTTCATAAGATTGGTGAAGTACCAGCCGGAGATGGAGATGAATGAGATTAGGAAGCGGCAGAGTCGGCGCGCTCCGGCGCCGATGTTCCTGGTGATAAGCAGCGGAGAGCAACTGAGTGTAGCCTGTGGGAGGAGTGGGTCCGGGAAAGGGCATTGGGGGCTGATGAAATACAGATAATCCAACAAGGTCGTCTGGGGCGGAAGAAATAGGTAGTGTTTTAAACCAACATATTAATAAAAGACATTTAATAATTAGTAAAAAAATTTGAAGTTCCTGTCAAATTTGACAACAAACTCTTTTGCTGTCAATTAATGTCACGTCACATAAGATTTGATATTTTAGTTGGAAACGATTAGTGATTGTTTTTTTTTATTATTATAACTTATGTGGATAATTTAACATCTTTTTGAAAATACTTTTACATTTTTGCAATCCTTCTCCCTCGACTGTGGATGTCGCGGGAGTCTGCTTTGGGTGGTCGCCCGCACGATTCGAAGAATCCTACGAGCTGTGGATACGTCATCAAAGCAGTGCGTGACGCTGACACCTTCGAAACCGTCGGAGAAGCTAATGTAACTGGTGTAGGCCCCACAATCGGTGGAGCATTATTGGTGGAAGCAGGATTTGCGAGAGGTACGCTAGTCGCCCAGCGATGGTGCGTAGAAATAAATCACATCATCTGAAAATTTGTCAACAATAAAAATAATGAATTAATTCTAAAATACTATAATTAATCCTAATCTATAACTAAAATCCTAAAATGTCATTCTATAATTCATCCTAAAAGGAATCCTTATAACTACTCCTAAAAATTATTCCTAAAAATTAATTCTAAAGTTCATCATAAAACCCTACAGACTAATTCTAAAAATTAACCTTAAAACTAATCCTATTATAATATTAATATAAAAACTTACAAAATGAAAAACAAAATTAATTTGCAGAATTTAAAGGCTAAGAAAAACTTAATCCAAACCCCTAATCTGCCAAAACCCACCCCCATCCCGTCACAACACCACCCACACCCCCAGCCCCGCCACTGCACCACCCCGAACCCTAAACCTAAAATATCCAACCCGTCACCCTTACCCCCACACCATCCCAAATCATCAACCAAATCTGTCAAACCCACTCACCCTCACCTCGGCACCAGCATTAATCGGAAAACCCTTAAATCCTTAAAACACCTAAAACTAAAATGAAATTAAAATTAAGCTAAAAATCAAACTATAGCTAGGCTTCGAAATTACCATAAAGGAGAGAGAGGGTCGGAGATAGGGAGTCGCCGGGGTTGGTGTCAGAGGGAGAGTGACAGTGATAGAGGGAAGATTTCGGGACAGAGGTAGAGTGAGAGAGGCTCAGAGGAAGGGTGAGTATGAGATCCCGTATTTTTAAACTTTACTATGGATGTTATTTATGCTTGTACCTATGCATGAAAATGCATGCTTATGTCTTTTACCAAGCTAGCTAAGTTTATTTCCAACTTCCAAGCACATGCTCTATCAAGATAATGAGCAAGCTCACTCACATATATAGCCTTAGTGACTAAGCTAGTAACGTGGAACTGTAAATGCTAATCAACCTTTCTACAAACTGGAGGTTGCAGATGCAAATTTTCGTCGTCTTCTCTTTTGACAAAAACGCACCTGCAAAATAATAACACCTAAGATCAAGGCCAAGAGTCTCACGCGCCCACAATGAATTTGGGGTTGGGGGGGGGGTTAGGGGGGCTTTGGCCAAAGAATCTCTGTTGCCAAAGTTAGAATTTGAGAGAGAAAGTGTTTAGGGAATTTTAGGGAGAGAATGAACTTAGCATTTTGGTGTGAGAATGAGACTATATATAGGGGTGTGGCCGACCCTATTTGGAGAATAGGGACCAGTCACTTATGGTGGTATAATGTTGTAAGATATTATGTGAAATAATATCTTGCAATTAATTTGGTAATTAATCCTAAATTAAGTAGGAAAATTGGGAGTTACCTTTTGAGTTAGGATTTGATGAGGAATGATGAGAGGAATTTGAATAAATACCATTTTGATCACCTTTGACTTTTCCTTTATTGAACTGTCATTGTCCATTGCATGCACGTGAGAATTCCGGTGTACCTGAAGGTAATTTTGTCATTTTCACCGTCCACGTGTCACCTGTATAATTCTCTTGATTATTTTTGGTTCCACAAAGGTGGTAGTAAGTTTACGTGCATGCAAAGGAGATTTAAGTGACTCATGGTTTTGTTAGCAGGACGTGTTTGTATAAGGGAAACAATTATCCCAAGTAGAGATAAAGATTTCCAGCTTGTGGTTGCTTAGTTCCCAAGCTTTTATCTGATTTGCCATGTTTATATCCGAACCAGTATTATGTCAATCTACACTGGCTGACATGTTGTTTTAGCCACCATAGTGCCCTATAAATAGGGAAAGGGATCCTCTTCGGATTCCTTCCTCCTAATTCACCAAGTTCGGGGATTCGGGCCAATAAAATTTGATCCCACAGCTAAAAATAAGGGCCTGCTTTAAAAGTTATAATAACAATAGCCTTTGGATCAAATTTCAATGGCCCGGATCCTCAGATTTGGTGGATTAGGGGGAAGTGATCTGGAGAGGATCCCTTTCTTATAAATAGGGAATGTCATTCTATTCTTTTCAAAAATAATGGTTTGTGGCATTAGGGTTTTACAGGAAAAAAAGAGTTACAGAGAGGGAGAAAGAGAGAGAGTTAAGGTTTGATATGGGGAGATCGGTAGATAGGTTGTCTTGTTGAGATTTTAGCTATTGATCGAGGTGAGTAGTTTATGTAATGTGTTTCAAAATATTCTTATTTTCTGCTAAACAAAAACCATGAGTTATCTTGGGATTTAATCTATTTTCAAATATCTCTCTATTTCAAGTCAAGCATGTTTGATTTCATGCTATATATACATTTTATGTGGAATTACTTGAAATTGTTCATGGAGCATGAAACTTTAGTGTTGGGTTATCCAAGGGATAAATATATGGCACAAGG